AGCTTACGGAGGGGAGGCGGCGGCGGGCGGGCAAGCGGCTGGGCTCCTTCACTCACGCTCCGCGATCCAGCTCGCTGCCTGTTCTCCTGTGCCAGGTTTCTTGAAAAGGACTTTTTTTTTTAAAGGACTATAGTGAGTGTGAGGAGAAAGATGAACCTTACATATGGATATATATATAATGGATGAGTCATTTTTAATATGAGAAAATTGATGAGATTAATGATTCTCAACTTTTTTGGTGAGCTCTTCTACAAAAATAAAAGGTGCTTGGCATGCTTCTTAGAAAGAAAAGGGTAATTTATTTCCTTCACACATTTCAGGAGCAAATGTGTAATATAATCTGGATACAGAACAGGTTGTAAATGGGTGAATCGTCAATGGCTGGTCATCCTCAGGTTTTCCCTCTTACTCTTCTTGTTTAGTCATCAAAACCTAGCCCATCAACCTTGGAATTTCATTTCTACCTTAAAAGTTTATCAGGTCTTTACTTCCAGTCTTCTCCTTTTACAGTCCTGGGCACTGATGTGATTGTAATCTTCCTAAAACACAGGCCCAAAATACTTTAGAGGTACCACCTTTAAAATAATATCCAAAGTCCTTAGCATAGCATAACTAAAAAAAAAAATCTTTGTGATTCTCATTTCCAGAGATTCTCCAGCATCTACTTGCATTTAAATTCCACCACATTGCCAGGAAAATAGTTAATGAAAATATTATTGATGAGTTTACTTCCATTGAAATCCAGGAAAGTAAAATTTAATAAATTTTGATTTCGGTATAGATAAAATATTTATCTTTAATGCTGTGAGTTTTAATCTATCTACTTTTCAATTTTTCAAAAGATTTTCCAACTGCTTTAATGTTCTAGAAAAAAGTTATATGTATATAACTTTGTATATGGGGCCCACATTTTTCCTTTTGTCAAGGGCACATGCTCCAGTATGGCTTGGTGTGGCATTTAGAATTTTGATATTTTCTTCATCATGGATTTTTGAATTATGTTTATATATTACATTAAAATTTTATATTTCTGGATTTTTTAGTTTTTGGCATATCCTTAAATTTTGCACACAAGGCGAGTGCCTTACTCAACCCACCCTTATCCCAGCCCTGCTTGAGGTCCTTAGAAATAAGTAATCTATTTGATTCTGCAAGCATTGTAGTTAAAATATGGGGCTTTTATTTTTGGAAGTGGTTTCCATCAAACCTTTCCACTTTTTAGTACAGAGTTCAGAGTTCTGAAGTGGGGAGAATTTTCTTTTATTTTTAAAAGAATATTTAATTTTTGAATAGGTAATACATTCATGATTCAGAAGTCAAAAGGCATAAAGAAAAGATACGTAGTAAAAAAACAAAAAAGTCTCCCTCCCTCCCTTTCCCCTGGATCATCCAGTTCCTCTCCCCAGAGGCAACTAATGCTAACAATATCCTTCAAGAAATAATGTATGGCCCTGGCTGGTTTGGCTCAGTGGATAGTGTCAGCCTGCGGACTGAAGGGTCCTGGGGTCGATTCTGGTCAAGGGAACATGTCCGGGTTGCCAGCTTGATCCAAAGTAGGGGGCATGTAGGAGGCAGCCAATCAATGATTCTCATCATTGATGTTTCTATCTCTCTCCCTCTCCCTTCCTCTCTGAAATCAATACAAATAAAAAGAGATAATGTATGCTTATTTGAGCAAATGTGTACATGTATTTTAATCATCCCATATATGTCTTGAATCTTGCTGTTTTAATTTAACAATTTGTATTGGAGCTCATTCCATATCAGTATATAAAGAGGTTTCTCACTCTTTTCTGTTGTTTCTTGGTATCTCACTGTAGTAACATTATCTAACCAATATCTTAATGAGAGGCAGTTGTTTCCAGTTCCTTTCTACTATAAACAATGCTGCAGTGAATACCGTTGTTTATATGTCATTTTGTCCATGTGAGTACATCTGTAGGATGAATTCCTGGAAGTCAATTTCTGGAACAGAAGCTTTGTACATCTATATTTTGGTAGATATTGCTAAACTGCTGTCTGTAGTGGTGGTACCAACTTACACTCCCATCAGTAATGTAATAGTGTCTTTCCTTACACCCACACACAACAGTATCATATTTTTGCTTTGTCAGTCTAATACATGAGATGATATTTCAGTGTAGGTTTCTTTTTTCTTTTTATTTATTGATTTGAGAGAGAGAAATAGAAACATCGATTTGTTGTTCCACTTATTTATGCATTCATTGGTTGATATCTGTGAACTGAACCCAAAACCTTGGTGTTCTTGGTGTATCAGAACGAATCTCCAACCAACTGACCTACTCAGCCAGGGCTGTTTTTTCCCTTTAATCCTCACTGAGGATATGTTTTTATTGTTTGGTGTTTTGTTGTTGTTGTTTGTTGTTGTTGTTTTAGAGAAAGAGAGGGAGGCAGGGAGAAGAGAGAGAGCAAGAAAGAGAGATGAAAGAGACAGAGAAAGAGATAGATAAGAGAGAAGCATCGAGTATTTCCTCCAGTGAGTGCCGGACCAGGGATGAGCGGAGATCAGATCCGCAACCCTCTGGTGTTCAGGACTATGCTCCAACCAACTGAGCCACAGGGCTAGGGCTCAGTGTAGGGTTTTTTCTTCTTCTGTTAAACATAAACATATTTTCACATGTTCAAGATCCATTTGTATTTTCATTTCTTTGAACTGCCTTCTCTGTATCAGTTGCTTATTTTTCTATTGAATGATTGGTCTTTTATTGTTGATTTGTAGGGGCCCTTTATATAATGAGGAAATTAGTCGTTTATAAAAGTTTCAAATATGTGTTCCCATTTGTTGTTTTTCTTTTAACTTTGCTTATGGAAGTTTTGCTGTTTAGGATTTTTTATGTAGACAAAATTAAGAACCATTTATTTTATGGTTTCTGAGTTTTGTGGCAAGGCCGAAGCTTAATGAAAGCCCACTCTGGAATAAAGACCGTGGGATCTTGGTAACCACCATAGCACTGAGAAAGGGAATGTGAATCAGAGGTGACTGTAGAATTTTGTAAAATTCAGTAACTTTTGCAATTTCTTCATATTTATTCTGTGTTGTCACATGTCTATTTTCACATAGTGATTCAAAACAAAACCCTAAACATCCTAAAGGCCTATGTGTTTGTCTCAAATCGGAAGAATGAGGTGAGTAAGGAATAATAGTAAATCTAATGGGAAGAACCCCGCAGTGCTAGCAGCTTTAAGAAGAAAAGAAAGCATCCTTAGGACCTTCCTAAGGGAAAGAAAAAGAAGAAAGTGCTTGAAAAACAGGGGTCAGTTCTTTTGGCCTGGTGGTGTATCCAGCCACACAATGATGAGGAAGGATGGCTGTTTAGAAAGAGAGCTAGGCAGTGTTGGCAGTTTCCTTTGTAGTGACAAGGTACATCTAGCAATACTGTAATGTTAGACTTGTAATTTAAACAACACTGGTTTAGTACACAATTCAGTCATGTTATGTTGCAAATGGTTTAAGCCAGTGGTCGGCAAACTCATTAGTCAACAGAGCCAAATATCAACAGTACAACGATTGAAATTTCTTTTGAGAGACAAATTTTTTAAACTTAAACTATATAGGTAGGTACATTGTTATTAACTGAATTAGGGTACTCCTAAGGCTTAGGAAGAGCCACACTCAAGGGGCCAAAGAGCCGCATGTGGCTCGCGAGCCGCAGTTTGCCGACCACGGGTTTAAGCCTTAAGAAGTTAACTGTAGGTCTGAAGTACAGTTTAACCAATATTTCTGAGTCCCTGGATTCCCCACTGTTTCCTTTTTTCCTTTCCACTCTTTTCTCCTTTCCTTAATAAAGTAGGGTGTTAAAACTCAAGTGACATTTTATCTTTTGTTTCCCTCTTGACTTGTTTCTAAAACTTCCAATTAAAACTTATAGAACATTGTATTTTTTAAAATATTTCTGACTTAGGGGTATGCTTATGTTCCTTAAATTAGGCTACAATAAACAACTCCAGGGGTTACCTAGACACTGGAGCTATAGAACTGGGGAGAGCCATTTATGTCATTCCCTCTCTGCAGCCCATTCAACATGATTAGTTCTGCTATCTTCCTTACAGTCACTTTTGCTGCTCTGAATCCCACAGTATCCTGTCATTGGCACATTTTCCTATACCCTACCTCCTCCTTTTCTATCATGTTTTACTCCCTTTCCACTTTATTCCAGATTTCTCTCACAGCTCCTCCATATTCCTAATGTCTCCTCCTGTCCATCCCCACTTCCACTATCTGAACTGAATCCTCCAAATGTTCCTGCCTGGATTAGGGAAATATTATTACTATTATTTCTCTGCTTTTATCCAGATGCTAAAGTGATCTTTCTAAATGTATGTGTGGGGAAAGGGGGACTTGCATTTAAGCAATTCTATATTGTTTGAAAGTTTTAAAATGTGTGTAGTACTTTTGTCATTAAAAAAGTGCAAACGTCATTGTCATTCAACTGTTTAAAATCCTCCTATAGTTTCCATTGATTGTAAGATAAAACTAAAAGTTATTTTTTAAAATATGTTTTTATTGATTTTAGAGAAGAAGGGAGAGGGAGAGAGAGAAAAACACCGATTGCCTGCCACCTGATGAGGACAGCCCACAACCTGGGCATGTACCCGGACCAGGAATCGAACCAGTGACCTCTCAGTACATGGCATGATGCCCATCTAACTG